TCAATGTTTGGAATAGAATTAAATGTTGAGAAATGCAATAATGCACACTCATACTGTCCATTTAGTTGTAACGTATTAGGATAGTACGTAGACAAGGTGGACGAGTTTCCGGTTATCGATAAAGTGAGTGACATCTTGTAAATGATTGAAATGAAAGAAACACATTAATTTTATACGTCTTTATTCCAAAATTCCCATAGATATTCTAAACATAAGTGACCACAATTTACTGTGTTAAACTTTTGATATCTTGTATAGTTGTAATAAACAGCACAATTTTTAAAATATCGCATTAATTCGTTTGGAGGTTTCAAGTCACCATAACTATCAAAGTATTCACAATAGTCGGCTACTTTAACATAAGCTACCCAATGCGTTCCTTCATTTTTAGAGTCATCCAAGTTAACAATACCACATTCAATCTGTTTTGGTTTTTTTGGTAATTGGTCCTTCATGAATACTCCTCGAAAGTGTGGGATGTCTCGTGCATGTTCTTGGATGTCGATATTAGTCAGTGGGCGATTAGGTAGCTTCTTTATCAGTTTTTTTGATGTTCTATGAATAATCCTTTACCATTTTTATGCGGTTTAATGTATAAACCCTTACCCAATGCTAAAGCCTCCATAGTCTTATTATGACGTTCTGTTTCTCGCAAATTTTGTTGAGCTGCTTTGTAATCATTAACGGTTTTAGCAATACCCGCTGCACCACCAGCCAGAGTGCCCAAAGCTGATAAGCCAGCAAAGATTGGAATTAAAGGCAAAATACCTCCAGTTTTCGGTATGGGTATGATGCGAGGTACTCGAATTTTCTGAATTTTTGGATATATCTTTTTTGCTGCTAAGTAAGCAGCATTAATTAAAGCTTTACTATCTTTGTGTTTAATTTTCTTAATTTTTGATTTAATTTTTGATATAAAACTGTGAAACGTTTTAACTCCGGCACCTGACTTTAGTTTGGCTTTCATGACTTTGCTTACTAGCCATGAACTAAGTTTTTCACCTTTCCCAGCATCCTTTGATTTAAGTCTTTGTTTTGCCATATTCATTAGTTGTAAATCAGCTTTATGACGATGAGATAAGTCTGTGTGGTTAGCGTATGCAATGTCGGTGCATACAAGCTTCATCCAACTTATTAATACCTCGATCACCGCGTAATAACCGTTTCTGGAGTTTTGTTCCTGGTCCGCAATAATTATAACCAGGCAAATGAAGCTCGAATGGTAAATTTTCTATTAAACTATTAACTAGTCCACCACCTTGCATTGTACAAAGCGCAATGGATGAATGTTCAAAAAGAATTGATTATATACTTAATAACTCAATCCAATAAGGCAGCTTTGTCAATCCATATTTCGTTATTGCTAAGACCAACCATTTCACGTAAAGTTTTCTTCCTTTCTTTTTTAAAATTTTCTCTATCAAATAAACACCAGGATAGTTAGATTTTTGAAGTTCTTGTTCATAAAAGGTTCCTAATATAGCTTGTTTACGTTGATCTTGTATATGATATGTCACCGGTATTGTATTATTAATCTTTTTTACAGTAAAAAGTTCTGTTGACCAATTAGGAGTATAACCTTTCTCAAAATTGTGTTTGTATTTGCTGATACGAACATAATCACCAATTTTAAACTTAGGTTTACATGGAGCAGATACATGTTTATGTGCTTTTAAAATATTTTCTTTTATTACTCGCTCATTAGACTTGTTTACATCGATTGGTTTTAATTTAATAGTTCGATGTTTTGTGTTGTTATACGATTCCAGGGTAAGTTCTAATGGTTTACCCAACCACTTATAGTTTCCATTAAAGCTAAAATATTTGTACAATTTATTTTTTATAGTTTTAATTAGTCGCTCAACAATTGATGCCTTTTTGCTAGAAAACGAAGAGTAATGGTTAATCTTATATGTTTTCATAAGCGTTTGAAATGTGTTATTATAAAACTCTGTTCCCATATCAGTTTGTAAGTTATCTGGCTTTCGATGACTCTTAAGTAATATTCGTTCAAATGCATGAGTCACATCAAGTTTATTTTTTGATTTCAACGGCTGCATCCAAGCATATTTTGAGAAGCAATCGATTACAATTAAAATGTAATTATAGCCTCCGTTATATTTCTTTAGATTTTGCATGTCCATCAGATCAGCTTGCCACAGATCGTCGATACTTTTTAAAACAACAGAACGCCGAAGGAAATTTCTTCGTGCAGTTTTGTGTATTTCATTTACAATTTGCTGTTTTGACATGGTTTACAGTTTTTTAAGCAATTTGTCAACATCTACTTTGGTATAAAACTTATCTTCCAAATGAATTAAAGCCTCAGATGTCTTAGCTTTTAAAGTAGCTTGAACTGTCTTTTGTGCATCTAGCATGAGCTGAGAACGTAATGCACCAATTAGTTTATTCAATTCATGTATCGTATTAGCATTTAAACGATCTACGTAATCTTTGTTTACGGCGTCGTCTCCATCCACAGGAGATCGGATCCCCTTGAGTCTTGTTGATTTCAAATCAAAATCCCCGCTTTCTGATTTTAACAACGCGTTATCATTAAATTCAAATAAATCTGATAAACGCAATCTTTTGTGAATAAAATGACCAAATTTATCTACATTCATCTTTAAAGGTGTATTGTTTTGAAAGGTCGACAGTAAAATGAAACACAGATGTTTTATGTATTTATTATATTACTTTCACGTAATTCCTCTATTATGGATATGATTTCGTTGTTTACCCCTGTGTTACCAGCATCTTGAGATGCAATTAACAATTTTAGTCGATCAACTAATTCATTAGGATCATCCCAATATATAAAATCTACATTCTTCTTCCACATTTTTGTTAAGGGTAATCCTTTCCCTTTGGATTGTAAAAATAGCGGTTTAATAATTTGTAAATATTTTTGACCTTTATTACTTTTTATCGGTTTACTTGGATCATAATCTCGACGATGTGCATTTGTATCAAGTAGCATTGATTTATAATGTTGCATATCACTCTCTGTAACCAAACTCAAATCTGCATTCTTTTTCAGTAGCAACTGTTTCAATCCAGGCGTACATCGATACTTGCGGTGTGCCACTATGATATATTCGTCATTGACAATTATGTGAGCGGCACCCAACATCAACTTCCCACGCTCGTATCTGACACCAAATGGAATATCTGCTAACGCTTCTGGAGAAACTGACCAGGATGTTGTGTTACAATCTTGTTTCTTTTCAACCAGTGATTTATATGAGGAGTCACTGTCAACCTCAGAGTCATAATCGTCTGTATCATTGCTTTCTTTCTCACTGAGAACTTCTTTCCTCAAAGTATTATCAATATATGGAACTTCGATGTCTTCATCTTCAATATTTTGTGGAGCAGATTGTTTGGTGACATTGGCAATTAAATTTAAGGGATCTGTTACAGGCTTGAAAACTGATTCCAGCGCTTCTTTATTGTTTATTTCAATATCCTTCATTTTACGTACTTTTTTCTTCACGGCTTCTGTCGCTTCAACAATTTGTCTTTTTAAAGATTTTTCCATATTGTTTAAATAGATCGTGATTGATTAAGTATTCCAAGTAGAATAATTAGAAACACTAAGGTAACGGATTTAAATAGCAATTTAATCAAAAACTACAAAGGTGTCAAATTTATTTCTATAACAGCCTTTATTTTTAGAGCAATCTTTATTAATGACAACAAAATTAAAGGGATCGTTCCATATTTTTGAACACATTTCACGAAATTCAACCCATGACATATCAGTGTTGACATGTTCTTCGTATATGTGCTTCAAATTAATTTCATCTTGTTTAAAAAGTATGATCAAATTGGCATTGTCTCTTATTAATTGTTTAGGAATTTTGCTATACGTTTGATTTAAATAAAAACAATCGATAAATTTATGTCTTCCCATTGCAAAGTAATCACGCATGTTGTTTTGATTTTCACAAGCAACATCATCAAATATAATCACAGAGTCAGGTTTTGCGTCCTGAACTCTTAGTATTTCTTCGTGTTCCTGATATTTTTGAAACGAAATACCTGGTACGCGTCGTAATACTTTTTCTAAAAATATGTACTTGGGTTGGTACAAGGTTTTTGAATAAATATAAACATTTCGAAATCTTAAACCATTTTCGTGTATAAGTAGACTAATGAGTAAATTTGTTTTTCCACAATTTGACGGTCCGCAAATTATACAGCGTACTGAATTAGGTAATAATTTACTGTGACGGAAATCAGTTTTACAAAATTCATCACATATTATGTTAATATTCAACGATTGTGGTTGTTTTACAAATTTCATGCTTACTGTGTGAAACAGTTCGAATAACAATGACAAATATTTTTTGTATGTTAATATTTATAAACCGTACGACTATGTATTTTGCGTTACTAGCATTAACCGAATCGACCGTTGACGATTGAGCATTCTGGACCATATCGATTATTGGGCGTTCTATACCACTATCGGCAGCGAGGCGCACTCGCCGAGCGACTTGCCGATAGTGGTATAGAATGCCCAATAATATACTACTGTTATCGTATGTAGGTATGTACCTAATGTACAAAGAGTTATAACTTTCGTGAGACATACTAAATAAATTATTATGTTTTCGGCTTACTTACGTAATAATTTGACGAGGAACTCGACTAGTTTCAAGCCATGCTAGAGGCTCATATTCATGATCAGCATTTCGCAACCCGCGACGCAGCGACTGTCGTGCTGCTACTGGCTACTCGTCTCGAATCACGGCAGAGGGCGCGCTGGGCCCGCAGACTCGACAGTCGCCGCGTCGCGGGTCGCGAAATGTTGCTCATGAATATGAGCCTCTAGCATGGCTTGAAACTAGTCGAGTTCCTCGTCAAATTATTACGTGAGTAAGCCGAAAACATAGTAATTTACAAAGAGTTGTTCCGTGCGGTAATCGAACCCGCGACACGTTGCGCGGTAGCCGGTTGCCCGCAGCACCAACCGTGCCGTCATATGAACTTACCCCGGCGTGATGTTATTGATGACCTTCTCCTCCATGGTTTCCACCAGGTCGATGAGCTTGTCTCCCGACAGGGGACTATCGTAGAACTTCTCGCCAATCATATTTTGCGGACAATTACTGAAAGTTGAAAGATATATAATTACTAGCGGACCCAACAGACGTTGTCCTGCATATCCACTTGAATGTATAAACAAAAATTCATTCAAATTAGTTCAGCTGTTTAGGATAAAATAACCTAAACATCGACTGCAGCGCCATCTGCCGGGCTGATTTGTGAATCTAGACCATTCCCAGATCCCCTTGAACACACACAAAAATTTTTATCAAAATCCGTCCAGTCGTTTGAGAGAAGTTCAGTGACATACACACTCACAGAAAAATTATATATATAAAGATATAAGTAACACATGGCACAACGAAGTACTCAAATTCAAGGTTTTATAGTCGAACAAATTGGTAAAATGAAATTATTTTAAACTAGTTTTGATGTCACTGGTTCGCTCACGATTCTTAAGTAAGAATTGCACTCTATAGATCTGGGAAAACTGCATAAAAATGCGTTTAGTAGTTTTAAAGTTGATTTCGGAAAAATACGTATCTAATATTTTTTCATTACCTAACTTACGGACTAATTAGATTTTTGATTTTCATACCCTGACATCATCCTAATTACCTGTAAGCAGTAGAAATATGAACAAAAGCCTTCAGCTTGCTGCATCCCCTGGCCAGCTTGAACATCTCCCTTGTCCCTCGAACATTGATCTCCACTGCAGTCTTCAAAGGCTCATCAAACCTCACTGTCGCTGCTCCATGGAAGATGACTTCCACCTGGTGGAAGAAGGAGAGAGTTAAGAGTATTATGCCCGTTTTGGGCTAGTGGTGAAAATCAGCACCGCGACTCGAGCTATTGCGCTCGGGTCACAGTATTTAAGCTGAGCTCTGGACGTATTGCGCCGTCTTCACTGTTTTTTTGCGTTATTGTTCTTTTTTTTAATAGCATGAGCCGGTAAACGAGCAGACGGATCACCTGATGGTAAGCAATCGGCGTCGCTCATGGACACTTGGAACACCAGAGGCGTTACAAGTGCGTTACCGGCCTTTTGGGGATTAGGAGTTTGAGGATCGTTGGGGATTCAGGAATTGGTGAGATTGGAGAAGGGGAGGGTAATTGGGCCTCCAGTAACCTCACTCATACGACGAAACACAACGCAAGCGTTGCTTCACGTCGGTTTTCTGCTTGGTCGTGCTATCACTCCGGTCGAGCCGGCCCAGTCGTGCCGAAGCATGGCTCTCCCACACTTGTATTTTGTGACGGCGTGCAAATAAACTCTTTTTCCTTCTTTCTTCTTCTTTCCATCAACCTACTCTAAATTTTAACCCCTAAGCTAAGATAGGTGACCATTAACGATTTTTTGATTTTCGCTATCAGTACGAGCAGGTATGGGTTATTTTAGATGTTACGTCATGCTAAGTAACTTGTAGTTAAGACATGGTTTAGCGGTAGACGATTAAAAGCCATTTTGTTTATTTAACTCGTCGAGTACCGTATTTATAGACACAATTAAAGAACAATAGGTTGCGGTCACCGGTGACCGCTTGGTGTTTGACAGTTTAAAAAACTCATTACCCCACACTAGGATTGTCTCCTGTGTCGTGTGTGCGTTTACAAGCATACAAGTTCACATACACATGACACACAGACCCGGAACAACCATTTGTGGCTACAAAGAGATGCTCCGTGCGGGAATCGGACCCGCTACACGTAGCGCGGCACACAGTTGCCCACCCACTGCGTCAACCGTGGAATCTAACAGTTACTCGTACGACGATGATAAATGCATTGTATCACGGTTTTCCATACCTCCTCTAGTGTTCCAGGTGTCTATAGACGGCATTGATTGCTTACCATCAGGTGATCCGTCTGCTCGTTTGCCTATAAAATCTAATAACAGAACTACTATTTCATCGCGAAATAACAATCGCAAATCGCAGTATTTCCATAAAATACGTATTCAAGTACCACCACATCCGTCTTTCTATGACATTATCAACTTTAACTCTTTTAGAATAAGGACCAAAATGTATTGAAGATATTCTATACCTATTAACTTGAGACTGGTTTGACGTGTATGTGTGTTTATTGAGCAGTTAATCTTGAACTCCAATGGTTAAGCAAATATTATCATAAGAAGGTAGCTTAGTTGTAAAAGTGGCTTCGACACTTGAGTCGTACAAAAAATGTTGTGGTTTTTACACAAAATCACGTAATACATATAAAAAGCTTAAGATCAGGCTCCATCCTCCATAAGTGTGGGAGAGCAATGCTTCGGCACGAATGGGCCGGCTCGACCGGAGTGATACCACGGCCGAGCAGAAAACCGACGTGACGCAACGCTTGCGTTGTGTTTCGTTGTGTGAGTGAGGTTACCGGCGGCTCAATTACTCCCCTCCCCCTCCTCAATCTCCCCAATTCCTGAATTCTCAATAATCCTCAAATTCTTAATCCCCAAAAGGCCGATAACGCACCGGTATCACCTCTGGTGTTCCGGGTGTCCTTGAGCGACGCCGATTGCTTACCATCAGGTGATCCGTCTGGTCGTTTAGCGGCCTAACCTATAAAAATCTACAGTCCACTGCTGAACTATGAGCCTCTTCTACATAAGAGGGGTTTGCTAGAATCTCCACGGTTGGCTTGGGTTGGAGATCACAGTATAAAAGGTTCAGGTTTACCAGAGAGTGCCCGGTCTTTGTCAAACGGGTATTCGACACGGCAAGAGTAGGGGTAGTAGATATATATCACATACCTCATTCATTATCTTGATCCTGTCTTCAGGGCACATTCCAAGGTCTAGTTGCCCTACGTCACCTTCGACTATGCTGATCTTGTTGATGAAGTCTGGACATTCTTTGCGGAGTCTGTCGTACAGCTGGAAAAAGAATTAAAAAAAATTAACATAACATCACGCCTTTTATCCCGAAGGGATAGCCAGAGGTGCACAGTATGCCACTGTACAATGTAACACCCACTTTTCACTATTTATGTTATAAGTCCCATGTAATAGGGGGTAAGCCTATTGCCATATACCAGGCACAATTCCAGACTCCGTGCTACTACTGAGAATTAAAAACTCAGTAATACTTTGTTCGACCCGGGAATCGAACCCGAGACCCCTTGCTCGGCAGTCGCACTCGGCCAATGAGGCAGTCAAAGCAAACAGGCAAAAATATGTTAAGTATGATAACAATAATATCTAAATGTGACCCCAAATTTAAGGGGGGGAAATCATTAAAACTCCTCCCGTGTTTGGTGAGGCGAGAGAGTGTCAGACTCTTACTGACTAAACACCACCCCGTTCCTACTACTGCTCCGAGCTGGAGTCGCGGTAGCCCTTACCGTCGTCTACAGACCCAATCAGCTTCAGCCCTAGTGGTCTTTATAAGCCCCGTCTGTAGTGGTCAGACACCACAAGAATACTAGTGTTTATACGCCCAGATCTGGTTCTGGTCGGGCTGCGAGCTACACTTGTGTGCCGTCGCTGAGCTCTGAGTTCAATCCCTAGGTAAAGTCGCGGAGAACCTAACGGGTTAACGGGGTTCCGGCTCGACGTGCAGGAGAAGGAACGGGGTGGTTTTTAGTCAGTAAGAGTCTGACACTCCCTTCCGCCTCACTCAGACGGGAGCAGTCATTCGATGATTTTCCCCCCTTAAAAATAACTTATTCGATAGAATGACTGCACGGTTGGTACGGTGGCTTCTACACAGGAATCTTGGCATGAGCAAATAGCTTCACTTTTAAATTTTTTTTTGACGTTCAAAAGTGCCTTCCTGGTCCAACTGGAATGAATGATTTTGACTTTGACATTGATAGACAAAAGAAAATTGAGTAAGAAACTGCACGACTGATCACTGCACGGTTGGTGCGGTGGCTGGGCAACCGGCTGCCGTGCAACGTGTCGCGGGTTCGATTCCCGCACGGAACAACACTTTGTGTAATCCACAAATTGTTGTTCCGGGTCTGGGTGTCATTGTGTATGTGAACTTGTATGTTTGTAAACGCACCCACGACACAGGATAAAATGCTAGTGTGGGGCAACGTTTAAAAAAAATGCAATTTAAAATCTTACCACATCATCAAATTGTTCTTGCAGTCTTTTAGTGATGGTTTTGTTCTTCTTCGGTCTTGCTAGAAGAAAGATCTTCTTCAAGTCTGGACAGGATCTGAGATAGAAAGAAAGTAGAATATGAGTTAAGTAATATTTTAAACAAACACAACCCCGTGGTTTAGTCACGCCGGTGTACTGTGAGGCCGTATTACTCCGGTTGAATCAATGCAGCAGTGCCGAAACATGGTTATCCGACGGGAAAAAACCTTGAGTGATTTTAAATTCTCGTCATTTTAGGCCATATATTGTTGCGAGGAACAGGATATTTGTGATCATATAGTCACTAGCCTATAGCCTTTTTTTATTGGGTCAATCTCGCTACAACCTCCCAAAACCGCTGCAACTCCTGTACACCAGGATCTACAGTAGATACAACCATGCAAACACCGGAACACTGAAGCCCTACGTCCCAGGGACATAAACAACTTTTTTTTTTTTTTTTTTTTTTTAAATAATTTATTCAGTGAACTTATTACAAATTGTGTCCTTAAAAACTAAACTCGCCAAACTGTAACGTTTGATGGCGAGAGGCGCTCTTTGTACAGTTTAATACAAAACAGTGAATTTAGTAATTCTTACATAGTTTTTTCTTTAGCATTTAAATATCCCATCACATATAATATCCCTTATTACTTACTTCGACATAGTTTATATACCTAATATAAAACAATCTTTATGAAAATAACAATAAAAAACAAACAAGACATAACAATGTTATTTCTTATTAATACTCTAACATAAATCTTTTTAATTTTAACTTTAGAGATCCTTTCGTAAACTTTTTTCCTTCTTCTCTCAGTAAATCTATTCTATTAAATACATTAGGAACTAAGTATTCAGATGTTCTTTTGCCATAATAGTTTTTTATTTCTGGTAATATTATAGTTTATTATTATAGTTTATTCTCTCTAACCCTACGTGTGTTGTACTTGTTCTTTACATTAATTTTAAACTCGTCACTATAATAATATTGCAAACCAACTAAATAATCTACTTTTTTATCTATGGGTATTATTTTACAAATAGGAAATAACTTATTGTTCTATATTATATCAAAATAATAGTTTACTAATTTATGCATCACTGCATGTATCTCTATAGTCTATGTACTGTGCTCTATTTTGTCTATAGTATAAATAAAAAAAAGTAAAAACCTTCACTTGTGCAACCGACTTCTCGAGTTTTATTAGGTTATGGGCCCAGTCCCACATTTTTTCACAAAAGTTAATAGTGTAAAGTTAGCAGATTTCGCGAAAAGTGTTTAAAAATGAATTCTAATTATCTGGCGAATGTACCAAAGTTGAAGGGTCGTGAAAACTACGACGATTGGGCGTTCGCGTTAGAAAACTTGCTGATACTGGAAGGTGCGGACAAGTATCTGAAGCAAGAACCTACTAATACTGAAGCTGCAGCATCTGCAGTAGCAGCTACGACAGACGCAAAAACACGGGCGAAAGTGATCTTGACGATTGACTCGTCATTGTACGTGCACATAAAGCAGGCAAAGACTACGAAGGAATTGTGGACAACGTTGAAGTGTTTGTTTGACGATTCAGGATTTTCGCGGAGAATTACTTTGCTACGTCATTTGATTTCGATCAGATTGGAAAACTGTGAAAATATGACGAATTATGTGACACAAATTGTCGAGACTTCACAGCGATTAACGGGCACTGGATTTGAAATTAACGACGAGTGGATTGGTTCATTGATGCTGGCTGGTTTACCCGAACGATTTATGCCTATGATTATGGCCATCGAGCACTCTGGGATCGGCATAACAGCAGATGCAATAAAAACCAAACTGCTGGATATGGAGTCAGTTCAAGTGAGTGAAACGGAATGTAACTCGGCATTAGTTGCAAAAAGTTGGAACAAGAAAAATAGAAATGGCAACACTACTAAGCATAAACCACAGACATCGCATACGCATCTGTCAAACTCAAATGTCAAAACAATTACATGTTACAAATGCAAGGAAACAGGCCATTATCGCAATCAATGTCCTCTTTTACATGAAAGACAGGAGAAGAAAAAACAGACTAACGCTTTTAGCGTTGTTTTTCTCAGCGGGAATTTCACAAAGCAGGATTTTTACATTGACAGCGGAGCAAGTATGCACTTAATTGCGAATGAAAAATGGTTAAAAAATCCGCAATATTCACCAAAGTTGCCGGATATTGTAGTAGCGAATGAAACTAAAGTTCCAGTTCTATGTTCCGGAGACATTGTAATTACAACAAGTCACGATTACGAAGTTACAGTGAAGAATGTTTATTGCGTGCCAAGTTTAGCGACTAACCTATTATCAGTCAGTGAACTGATAAGGAATGGAAACAGTGTAAATTTCGAGCTTAATAAGTGCCTCATACGAAACAAATCAGGTGATTTAGTGGCGGAGGCTGTTCTTATTAACGGAGTATACAAGTTGAACCTGAAATCGACACAGACTTGTTTCTTAACCTCTCCAGTGGTTGATGGTGACACATGGCACAGGCGATTAGGACATCTGAACAGCAGTGACATGAACAAAATGAAGCGTGGTTTGGTAAAAGGCATGGATTATCCAGATACATTCTCAACAAGCAAGTCGGAATGTGAGATATGCTGTGAAGGGAAGCAATCAAGGTTGCCCTTCTCTACAGGTACTCAAGCCACCGAAATACTTCAAGTTGTTACATCTGACATTTGTGGCCCCATGGAACAGTTATCTATTGGTGGTGCTAGATATTTTTTACTGTTCATCGATGCATTCAGTAGAATGACTTTCATCTATTTCTTAAAGGCAAAGAGTGAAGCATTAAGTTATTTCAAAGAATTCAAGTCGATGGTAGAAAATTATAAGAATAAGAAAATAAAAATCCTGCGTACTGACAATGGTTTGGAGTATTGCAACAGAGATTTTGAAAATTTTCTGAAGAGTACAGGCATGTACACCAAAAAACCAATCCTTACACGCCAGAACAGAATGGTACTAGTGAGAGATCCAATCGTACCATTGTTGAACGGGCGAGGTGTCTCCTATTTGAAGCTGATCTCGAGAAGAAGTTCTGGGCAGAAGCAGCAAACCATGCTGTCTATCTTAAGAACAGGTCAGTAGCTTCAGGTTTAGAAAAAACACCATATGAAATTTGGACAGGCAGAAAGCCAAATCTAACAAACCTACGTGTATTTGGCAGTCCTGTTATGGTCCACATACCCAAAGAAAAGAGGACCAAGTGGGACAGAAAGTCTAAGAAACATATACTTGTAGGATACAGTGAAAACATCAAAGGTTATAGGATATATGATCCAACGAAGAACACAGTGACTACTAGCAGAGATGTAGTCATACTAGAACAGAAGACCAAGCAAGACACTGCTACTGTCTGCATAGAAAATACAGATTCAGTGGGGGAATTATTGGAGGAATCTGTAGTTAAATTGGAATCTACAGAACAGTCGAGCTCATCTGAATCGGAGTACCTGGATGTCAAAAACCAGAAATACTCAGACGATGCTTCAAACAGAGCGGTTAACTCACCAGAAATACCCACAGAAGTTAAACAGAAGCGACAGAGAAAGAAGCCAGAGAGATATGGTTATGCCAACATATGCACAAACTACATAGGAGATGATAACATGACGTATGCAGAGGCTATCAGTGGACCTGAGAAACAACAGTGGATGCAGGCGATGGCAGAGGAGCTGCAGTCATTTGCAGATAACGATGTGTGGGATGTCGTTGATTCTCCAGATAATGTGAGTGTAGTGCAGTGTAAATGGGTACTAAAAAAGAAACTAGATTGTGACAATAAAGTGCGGTATCGTGCGCGATTAGTGGCAAAAGGCTTCACGCAAAAAGCTGGTGTGGACTATCAGGAAACTTTTTCCCCTGTGATCCGTCACTCAACCTTGCGTTTGTTGTTTGCACTGAGTGTACAGCTTGATATGGACATTACACACTTAGACGTCACAACAGCTTTTCTTAATGGTTGCTTAAAAGAAAGCATTTATATGCACTTGCCAGAAGGCTTTCCTGTTGCAAATTTTGAATCTAGTAAAGTATTAAAATTAAAAAAGGCTGTTTATGGCTTAAAACAGTCATCACTGGCTTGGTATCAAAAAGTAGAAGAAACATTATGTCATTTGGGATTTAATAAAAGTAAATTAGAACCTTGTGTGTTCATAAAAAATCATAAAAATAATAAGACAATTATTATAGGCCTTTATGTTGATGATTTTTTGATATTCTCAAATTGTAAAACTGTTACTGATTGGCTGATAAATGCTTTGAATCAGAAATTTAAATTAAAAAATTTAGGTCCTGTAAAGAAATATTTAGGCATGAGAATTGAAAGAAATTGTGATGAAATTAGAATAGACCAAGAGAATTATATTGAGCAACTATTACAAAAATTTGATATGTATAATTGTAACACATCTGAAACTCCTATTGAGTGTAAGTTAAATATAGAGAAATCAATAGTTTGTGAGGAGAAATTACCTTATCAAAAATTAATAGGTAGCTTGATGTACTTGGCAATAATGACTCGACCAGATATTGCATACACAGTCAGTTATTTAAGTCAATTTAATAATTCTTATTCACAAATTCACTGGAATTATGCTAAAAGGGTCTTGAAATATTTGTTGAGGACAAAAGACTATTGTTTAAAATATTCCAAAGGAAGGGCAGAGATAACTGGATTTGTAGATGCCGATTGGGCTAGCGATACCATTGACAGACGGTCATACACTGGATTTTGTTTTTTAAAATCAGGCTCTGCCATTTCTTGGGAAAGTAAAAAACAAAGAACTGTAGCTTTAAGCAGTTGTGAGGCTGAATATATGGCTCTATCAGAAGCTGGTAGAGAAGCCATTTATTTACAAAACTTAGAGCGTGAACTAATTGGTTCTTGTAAAAAAATTGTGTTGTATAGCGATAGTCAGAGCGCATTAAAATTGGCTAGTAATAGTTTGTCACATAAACGTTCAAAACATATTGATGTTCGATTTAATTTCATTAGGGACATTATTAGCAAAGATGTTATTGAAACTAAATATTTACCAACT